GATAGGTTTTCCTTTATAAGTGATCTGTCTTTTCTCTCTGACAGCTTTTAATATTCTATTATTTTGGTGGATTTTTGGATGGTGATTATTACATGTCTGGGTGTAGTTTTATTTTGGTTATGACTATTTAGAGTTCTATATGCTTCACTGATCCTGATGTCGGTTTCCGATCTCATGTTTGGGAAATTTTCAGCTATTTCTTCCTTAAATATCCTCTTGACATCCTTTATGTTGTCCCCTCCTTTTTCATTTATCCCTATCAATTTTATGTTGTTTTCTTTGCATCATCTTGCAGTTGTTGAATTGTTATTTCTTGTTATTTTTAAAAAATCTTTTCTTTCCTCGCTAGCTGCAATCTTGTCTTCAAAGTCTGAAATTCTACCTTCACTTTCATTGAGGTGGTTTTACAGCCTTCAATGAAATTTTTGATTTCCTGTATATCTCTGCGCATCTGTTTTATGTATTCTGTTTGTTTCTTATATTGTTCATCCTTTTTGTTTAGTTCCTCCATTTTTTTTTTTTTTTTGTGGCACCAGAGATTGAACTCATGACCACATGCTTGCCAGGCAGGCACTTTTGCCACTGAGCTAAATCCGCAGCCCCGTTCCTCCAATTTTTTAACTGTGTCTTCTTTAGATATGTTCAGAATCTCCTTCATTTCTTTTATCATTTCTTCTTTTACCTGGGAGATTATTTCTAGTTTGAATTCCTTTAAAGTTTCCCATAGTTTCTTCTTTATTTCAGTTGCTATTATGTCCGATATTTCAGGTATACAGCATATATTTTGTTCTATGTACATTGCTCCTAAGGTTTCTTTGGATGGGCTGGAGGCTTGAAATTGTAATTTGGTCTTTTGTTTTGTCATTTTCCTATATTTTTGTGTTTCAAGAGTTATTCCAAGGCTTCCCTAGGGTCTGTTGAAGATCCTCTTCAATGCCCTCAGCTCCCGGGACTCTGACCACCCAGCTCCCCAGATTGAGAGAGGGTCACTGGGAGTGGGGCAGGCCAGCCCAAGCCCAGCCCCAGAACTGATGGTGCCCACTCACCCAGAACTCCAGAGTCCTCCAAGTTGGGGAAGGGGGATGCCACAGGCCCGCCCAGGACCCGCTGCACTGGTCCAGCCACCAAGTTCCTTCTCAATTTATAGCCTTTTGTAGGAAAGCTTTTTTGCATCATTCAACCTAAACTTTTTCTTTCACTAGGTTTATGATTTTACTTTTGTGTTTTATTTTACAATATATTTAGAAATTGTTTATGTTAGTATCATTAATAAGAAATACAGTACAACTTCATTTTTGTTTGTAATTGTTTATTTTAAACTATTAGTAAATGTGTAGATATTCATAATGTACCAGGTGATATTTTGATAGAGTTCTATGTTGTGTAATGTCAAATAAAAGGAAACATATTTTCTCAAACATTTATTGTTTCTTTGTGGCAAAAACATCAAAAAACTTTTGTTATTCTTAGAAATGTGTGTTGGTACTTCTGTTCATCTTACTGTGCAACTGCATATCAGAATTTATTTCTCTTATATTTATTTCTCAAGAATTCTGGGGTTACAAACGTGTGCCACCAGGCCTAGCTCAAATAAAAATTTTTGGAGAAATTGATTCTATTTTTATCCTTATATGTGTAAGAAGTGAGGGAGATGCAATGATGTTCTTTGATGTAAAGAGGAAATTTTCTCAGTTTTAGACTTTCACAACACCAATCAGGTCAATTATAGTATTACCATCAACACAGTACATGACCAAGTGTGATCTACAGGACCGTGAAACAATTCTTGAAGTCTAAATATCTTGCAGGATTTCCACATCCAAATTACAATTTCAAACAGATTGATTTCTAATATACAAAAATCCAAATAAGAACATTTATAAGTATTTTTGCATCTTCACCTTGATTAATGAACACATGATACTCATTTTTCACACACATTGAGGAAATGATTTGGAGATGTATGGGATAGATTTGGTATATTTTGTATGAGTTGAATGGAAAGAGAGTGAGTCGAATCAAGTATATTCTCTTCACCTGAGTCCACTGGTGACAAAGATACGTAATTTCCCCGACATACGTAGGCAAAGAACAAATATATTAGAGTGATTTTGCTGGTTTTTTTAAAAAAATAAAATACATTTGGAACCATAGCATCTGGATTGTAAACTGAATAATTATCCTCCTTCGTGAAGACCTCTGAATTTCATTTTCCCTAAGGTAAACCGGAAGACTAAGAGCTTTGTGACTCAGCAAGTTCCTAATCGCCGCCCCAGTGAGGCTTCTTCCCATTGTTTCACTACAGGTAAATTCTCCAGGGGCTTCTGTCACGAGTACTTCTACCCCCAAGGGAAGCAGGTAAAGAAGCAATTACACTTGCCTTCAGTTTGGAGCTGGGGATAACAGTTTGCTCCTTAAGTCCTTTCCGTGATCTGTAAAATTAGAGTTCATCAGTTTGTCAGGAGTATGAGCAAGTGTACATTGGTACATCTATTGGGTTTAATTCTGATCCAACAGCTCTTCTGCAAATTGCCTGGAATGTTAAGCTCCTTACAGGCTCGACTTTTTTCTCTGTATTCTGTGTCATCAAGAAAGAAATTGAAAGATCTTCCCGTGTTTTTTTTTTCTCCCCAAAGATATCCATGCACTCCACTTAAAGGTTCATATCAGAATAGAAGCATCAGCATTCTGAGGTATGAATGTGATGTTTGGATGTGTCTGTCCATTGTGTGACGTTTGTCCCTCGATACTATGCTCATTTCACTGTACAGCATGCAAGAAAGCTGCGATTTGAACAATTTTTCTTTAACTGAGTAGTTTTTGGTTTTAAAGATTTTTTCTGGTTTATTAGTGTATGCGTGTAGCACATAATGTTTGCATTCTTTGTAGGAATTTGGTACATGTACGTAACACACTGTAATTCCTCATTTTATCCCCTTTCCTCTCCAGCCTCCTCCTTCCACCCATCCCGTTATCCCCTCCTCTTTATTTTTAGTACACATTTTCAGTACATAAGGTTTACATCCCTTGCATGGTGTAGGCAGGGAAAACAATTCTCCTCTTAGAATAATTTATCTGAAACTGATTTTATATCCATTTTAAGGAGGACATTGAAAAAAACTATCACCTTTTACATATTTTTAACTATGGTAAGTGGTGCAAGCTTTCTTGCGAATTTTATACTAAGTATCTGTAATTTGTTTATTTATTTAGCTTCCAAAATCCAGTTAGCAGCAGGTACTGTTTTAAATACATTAGCCTCTTAGTCAAACGCTGATAGTTCTCTTGTCTTGCTGTAATCTGATCTCTACACCAAGACAACAAGCTAGGTAAAATATTTTGTCATTTCTTTACTTTAAACATTTGCTATTGCTCTTGAAGAGAATTGACAATTTTTGTTATAGCCCAAAAAGTCTTGCAGTTATCTGACTTTTTGATAATTCTCTCCAAGTAGTCCCAGGATATCCATATTATTGAGCTGTCTCTGTTCCTCAAATGCCATAGCTTTGTGTACCTACATAGTTCACTGGGATGCTCGCATTTATATTCTCCCAGTGACAGGTTCTTCATTTAGGACTCTCTTAAATAAGACACACAAATGAGCTTCCTTGTCATCCCAGCCTCTTGTAATTTGACAACTTATCAAAACCATGAAATAAATTCTCTTGAATTCAATTGCTAGGGATTTATACTAAGATATGTATGCTAATGTGAAAGGTGACAGAGGAACAATACTATTTGATGCAGCATTTTTGGACAATAGCAAAATATTAAAAACAAACCACATATATGACAATGAATTTTATGATAAACCAGTAGATAATGACATGAAAATTAGTAACATCATTGATTATGTAACCTATCTCCTTTAGCAACATCACATAAAGTGAATTTTTAACATAGTGGGATGAAAAATTTAGGAATTATGATACAATATCAGTCAAGCTGGGAGCATTGGTAGATTGTGCAAACTTTAGGTAACCACAAAAATAGTGATGTGTGACAGTGGAATATCTCCTTAGCTCTCAAATACAAAGAACTTCAGGTTGACTAAATCCTTATATGCACTATGAATTCCATTTTTAGCAAACACTTCTCATATTCTCTTTTTCTTTTTCACATGGATAAGTTTAAGACCAACTGGTGGGAAGAAGAAACAGGAATAATTATCAAAGTATTGAGAATTTAGAATGATGACTAGAAAGATGTCTTTTAAAAATCATTATCAGAAAACCTAGAATATGAATCACAAGAAAGGAGAAGGCATTATTTGTTGATGCTAATCATTCAAAACAGCCTCTTATTCATCAGATCCCTGATTGTGAGTAGAAAAGCCAATTATTCCCCAGTGCTCTCAGGATTTCAATGGGGATAATCTGGCTTGATTTGAAGCAGTGAAAAGATGGAGATTGGAAAGATGAACAGACTTTTTCCTGAGTTCATGAAGAGTCCTATAGAAAGATGAAATTGTAAAAATGTTGAGTGGGAGAGAATGTTCTTAGAGGAAGAACCAATGGCTAACTCATAAGACATATGTCTAGATACTGTATGTGTTGATGTACCTTCATGCTCTCAAAACACTTCTTTGACCCAGTGCTCCAAATCTCCACACTGTGATATTTTGCAGACACAAAGCAGCCTTTGGTTTAATTTGACCCAATCACTGGAAATAAATTGTTACCAAACAAGTTTCTTAATCTTGAATTTCTAACACAAACTCTGAGACTCTTCAAGTAAAAACCCAGTCTGATCTGATGACTAGTCAGAAATTCCATGTTTCTCCAAATAATGTTGAGTTCGTTTTCAGGAGGACAAATAATGTCTTTGGTCTAAATCATTACTACCTCACATTGTAACAAAAAGCCTGGCAATTTCAGATTAAATGTTGCAGATACTAATAAGTTTCAAACCACATTTTTATTGTGCAATAATCACAATAACTGCTCATTTTAACATGTGTGCTTCATTTTGCATTTTCAGCATAACAGATGACAAAGATCATGAGGAACAATAATCAGAGCAGTGTGTCTGAGTTTATCCTCCTGGGCCTCCCTATCCAGAAGGAGGAGCAAGGCATGTACTACACCCTTTTCCTGGTCATGTACCTGACCACAGTGCTGGGGAACCTGCTCATCATCCTGCTCATCAGGCTGGACTCCCACCTCCACACCCCCATGTACTTCTTCCTCAGCCACTTGGCTCTCACCGACATCTCTTTCTCATCAGTCACGGCTCCAAAGATGCTCATGAATATGCTGACACAGAGTCAGTCCATCTCATATGCTGGGTGCATTTCTCAGGAATTCTTTTTCTTATTATTTGGTGGTCTTGACAGCTTCCTTCTCACTGCAATGGCCTATGACAGGTATGTGGCCATCTGTCATCCCCTGCATTACAACATTATCATGAGTCCTGTCCTCTGTGTCCTACTAGTAATTCTATCCTGGGTCTTATCTTCTGCCAGTGCTTTTGTGCACACCTTCCTCCTCTCCCATCTCTCTTTCTATGGAGACAACATGCTTTACCACTTCTACTGTGAGCTCTCTGCCTTAATTAAACTGTCCAGCTCAGACACCACTATCAACGAGTTGGTTATTATTATTGTAGGAACAATGGTCATTACACTGCCATTCTCATGCATTCTGGTATCTTATGGGCACATTGGGGCCACCATCCTGAGAGCTCCCTCCATCAAGGGAATCTGCAAAGCCTTGTCCACTTGTGGTTCTCACCTGTCTGTGGTTACTTTGTACTATGGATCAATTATTGGTCTCTATTTTGTCCCTTCATCCAGTGACAATAATGACAAGGATGTTATTGTGGCTGCAGTGTACAGTCGGGTCACACCCATGCTAAACCCTTTCATCTACAGTCTGAGGAGTCAGGATATAAAAAGTGCTCTGGGAAATCTGCTTAGTAGAAAAAAGATTTTCAGCATAATGGGCATTGTATTTCCTATTATTTGAATGTGAGATCTTCCCAAAGGCATACATATATCCTGTCTTTGAATTGCTGTGTCTTGGTGCAGCTTGGTTGAACTGTTCTTTGCACTTGTCTTTTACGTTAGACATAGTTTTTCTATTTGTCCTGTTGAGTTTGAGAGTCTTGAGAAAGGTCCATGCAAACATACCTATATAATTACCTTTTCCTGTATCTCTCCCTTTCACATTTTATTCTCCTATAAAAGTCTTCATTTTATACGTAGTTCCAACATCTTGTTCTTTTTATTGAATGATTTATACCTTTCATAGCAAAGCTTTTTTGTATCACACAACTTAAACTTTTTCTTCTGCTAGGCTTATGATTTTCCTTTGGTGTCTTATTTTAAGTATATTTAGAAATTATAGCATAAAATACCACTTCATGTTTAATCCATTCCTTGGTTAATGGGTATTTGAGCTGTTTCCAAGATGTAACTGTTACAAATTGTGTCAGTATAAATATGAGTGCACATATATTGCTGTGGTATGATGTTTTCAATTCCCCTGGAAAAAATACCCAAAAGGGGAATAGCTGAGTCAAATAAGACCTGTAATTCTAGGATTTGAGGAATTTCCACACTGACTTCCACAGAGATAGCAGCAGTCTACTCATCTATAAAGAAACATAAACTCGAGGCTTTTATAGGTAAATGATGCAACTAGAGATCACACTCAAAAGGAAATAAATCAGACGCGTATGTAAAAACATTGTATTGTCTCTGTAGTGTAAGAAACTGAAAGGTACAACACTACCAAAAGGTGCAATAGATATTGTGAAGGGGAAAGATACTGCTCAAAAGGAAACAACTGGGTTGGGAGAAAGGCAAAAAGAAGAAAGGGGGAAATACACATGTATATACACAAAGATAGCTAAGATTATTGTACTACTAATTCTATTAGATCTTTGAAAGGAACAGTTAATGCTTATACTGCTTGATCAATGTTTATTTTTATTTTGAAGGTAGTAAAATATAACAAAACAATACAGAACAAAGCCAATCGAGATAATGCAGTGAAATTGGTACAGAACTTCACAGCAGGTTACCAGGATAACAATAATAAGCACCATAGTATATCTCATTATCTTCACAATAGTTGTCCATTCAATCAGGTTTAGCAAAGTCAAACCAAATACAGAACATCATCAAAACAGAGTATTATATACAGCAATACAATTAATAAGAACAAAGCAAAACAGTGATAACAATATTTGCCTTCAAAGAGACGGTAGAAGGAAATCCCCCATATTTGCTGTATTGCATAAGGTCATCCTCCCAAGAGATGCTCAGTCCTCTAGCTCCCATTTGCTAACTGCGGAGGAGGGGAATGGTTCTCTCCCTGGGTCATCCACCATTGCTTACCAGGGAGGTGAGAGGGTTCCTTTGTTGCCCAGCACCCTGTTTGGTCAATTTTGTCTGGCTATATCTGGTAATTTGAGCAACTGTTTTGAAGATAACAATATACAATATAATAACCATTGTTAATCAAGTTTTCTATCATCTTGTTTTGAAATTCTGTATCGCTTTGCTTGTTTTTTATTCTCTTTAAAAGAAAAAAATTAAAAAGGAATACAATACAGCTTCACTTTTTGTAATTCTTATTTATTTATTTTAAATTACAAGTAAAATTATAGATATTTATGATGTGCCAGGTGATCTTTTCACATTTATCTTTTCTTCATGGCAAAAACATTGAAATGCTTTTATTCTTCTTGAAGTACATAACATGTCATTATTTCTATTTACTCTGCTGTGCAATTGAACACCAGAATTTATTTCTCCTATATGTATTTACTAATACATAGGTATTAGTAAATACAGTTGACTAACCTGTTTCCAACTCTTCATGCTAATGGTTATCCTCAGCTACTTGTATTTTCTTAATCATTTCCCTATTTTATTTTTATCTGCATTCTTAGAGTAGTGAAGGCTAGGCACATAACTTTTTTTCCTTTTTCATTTCCTTTTTTTTTTTTCTTTGAGACAGGGTCTCACTATGCAGTTCAGGCTGGCCCTGAGCTCACATTGTAACCCAAGCTGGTCTCTAACACAGTAATCCTCCCACCTTAGTCTTCAGAGTGCTGGGACTACTTCTTTTTCTTCTTAAAGAGAGCAGGTATTTTCACAAATTGAGATGAGATGGCTTTCCATAAAAGACCAGTTCAATGATCTATGCAGATACTTAGACACATCTCCCAAACGTTGATCAGGGAAACTTAATTTAAATTCTCTAGGTTCTCAGAATATCAACTAGGTGTAAGGAATGAAAGGAATGAAACAGTAGATATTTCATGCACTTTCGTGTGTCGACATGATTATAGGTGATTTTTTCATTCTGATAAGGGGATCTGTCTTCCTCAGCGTGGGCCAAGGAATGGCCAGGAATCAGGAGTACAAGCAACAAAACTGAGTTCAAGCAAGATTCCAGGGTAGTTAGTCCAACTATATTTGATTTTAAAATGAAGAAAAGAACTTTCCAGCCAAACTATAAAAATCTAGTGTCCTATGTTTTCATGGGAAAGGGCAAAGTTGTCTTTCATCCTTGAGAAACTGCCTCTGCTTAAAGTAAAGCTATTTGACTTCATTGCAATAAGCTCATTACAGTGATGGATATTTGTGTATTATTTCCTAGTTCTTTGTTATAAAGGTGGACATCCTAATTTAAGAGTTTGGTAACTAGCCATGTGCTACTGAGATGGTAATATTTTTTTTAAGCTGGTAATATTTAGTGGAAGTGGAACTCAAACTCCTGTGTCCATAGGGTCAAATCTTCAGATCTATGTTGGTAGTTCTTCAATATCTTGCAAACTTCAACAATGTTATTATCCGCTTTTTGGAAATTTTACTTTAATCTTTATAAGAATTGAAGTATTACAAACAAAATGACATATTTCCTATGTAAAATGTAAAGATATATGTATATATGCGATATTGTATTGTGCTTATTTATGTGTATGTCCATATATATGATGTTTGAATATCATTTCAAGGTAAAAATATTAAAAGAAATACTTTATATTTTAGCAACTTGCATCATATAAAACAAATAATAGTGTTGAAACTCTTGTTCCTCCCTCATTGTTTCTTTTTCTCTTGAGGAGACACGATGTCTTTCCCATCTTCAATACTTCAACAATTCCTTTTCATTGCTGCTTTAATATTTGTGCACTAATCCTTCAACTTGCCTGCCTTAAAACTGTGTATAAATGAAATAAAATAATATTCAGTGTTTCATTTTTTGTAACCTGTTATCTTATTAAATTTATGTATATATTTTGATATTCTACTCCGAGTGTAAAACGAACTTTGCTCTATTGTCATTCCCCCCTTTTAATTATTTTTTGACCTTTTAAAAAAATTTTACTTTAAGAGAAAAAAACAAAACAGAAAAAGGGTACAATTAATACAGAATTTCAAAAAATAAACAGTAAGAAATCACTAAGTAATAGATTACATATCATCATCTTAGAAATAGTTGTTCAAGTTACAAAATTAAAGCATACAGAGTGGACATTCTAACAGTGAGACTGCAAACAGTTCTATTCAATGATCTAACAAAAACTTAGTAATATAGATATCTATTATAAACACTTAAATATACATGCAGTTATATCATTTAGAGCACATTCTTTTCCTCTCTTTTTTACAATAACAATTACACATTTTGGGTTTTATTACTCCCACAGTTCTTATTACTTTTTTTCACCTTTTTTATTCTTATTCTGGCTTTCAGCATTTTTCATCAGGATCATTGTTCATATGAACAATTATATAAACATATAGGTAAACATTCTCCAGTATGTATATATTAAAATGATTCTGTAAATTATAATTTCAGAGGGTTAATCTGTAGTAGGACAGGTGTGTATCCAATTTAACTATCACTGCTAAGTTCCTCTATAAAATGGTTATACTAAGAAACTAGACCTGACATATTTCCAAATGTATCACATTCTAGAAAATACAAAACTAAAAGGTGGTGACTAAAATGATCAGTGGTCACTAAGGACTTGGGAAAGGAAATATGAAGGGGGCAAAGGAGATTTACAGAACAGAATATGATTGTGTATGTTGGAACTTTGTATAGACGAATTTGTGAAAACCAACCAACCAAACAAAAACAAAACAGTAAAAGAAATGAAAGTTTACAGAGTCAAGGGAGCATTTGTAACCTTGGAGAATAAAAGCCAGTTTAGTCTTTGTAAAAGACATGCACCAGACTTAATTAATATTGTCTGATGAGAGACTGAGTCAGAGTTCATAGGAGCTACAATACTAGATAGAATAGCAATAGTATACGATTAGATTACAATTCAACAGGACCAAGTTATTACAGAATATCAAGGTTTTCATCTCCTGATAAATTTTGTATTGGGATTGGTAAATAAATTGAATTCTTTGTATGAAGTTTTAAGCAAATATACTAGAATTTGAAAAATTAAAGACTTCCTTTATCCTATGTATCTAATGATAGTACATCAAATTTCTATTTAAAATTTTATAACCTTTATTTCAGT